GGCTGCCCCAGCAGTCATGTCTCTGAGTGAGTCTTTCTGAAGTTGGAGGTGAGTTCTTTAATTTGCTTCTGGCCCCAGGGGGTGGGGGACCACACTCGGTCTTCACCATGGGGAGGCCAGGGAGCTGATCTTATAGTCATGGTCCCTTTTATAAGAGGATTTCAAAAACTTTGTGGGAAAATGGAGGTCAAAGATCATGGAATTCTTCCCCCAGTGACGGTTGACGTCCCAATGTGTTTCAAATCCCCTTTGTTGTCAGAGTCTCAGTCATTTTGGGGTACGGTAACATTTCCTTTCCCCAGGTCACAGTTTCACCCACAGATGAAGGGGCAGAGGACTTGAAGCCCGTAGGTCTGGGTTCCAGAGCCGTCGGCACGTGGCCGTCCTCTCAGGCCTCAGTCCACTCACTAAGAGAGCAGGGAGTTATACTCGGGACTGCTCCCAGGTGTCCCTCAGCTCAGGAGGTTATGATGTCGGGACACGGAGGGTCCCAGCAGCACAGTCACAGCCTAGACAGTAAAGAGCCTTTGTTTCCTTCCCTGAACTATGAAGGCTGTGCTCGGACACACCAGAGGGAACAGACAGCCGTTTGCACATTCTGACTGCACAGGGAAGCTCCATCCCATTTCGGTGACCTACGTGATGTAAAGCACTGGCTTACGTCAACAGGGGTGCCACTGCTCTGCCTTTGGGGAGAAGTACATATGCATGTGTAATTTGCATATGCATGAGGTTAGATATGCATGTTTGTTAGCAAATGCATGAGGTTGTGTCCTAATCATTTCAGATAAGGAAGCCAGGTCTCAGGTGCTTTTGACTTGGTCACAGGTTTGGCTTGTAGGGTGCCCTTAGAGTGGAGACCAAGGAACAAAACATCCTGCAACAGAGCTAGCAGTGGGGTGTTGGAGCAGAACAAACCCGGAGAGATAGAGGGGCTGACGCTAAGAACAACATGGCTGGTTCGCTCTGAGGCGTGCTGTGACCGAGCCTCTTCTTCCTCAGTTGACTCCGTATTTCCACACATGTCGTCATGACTGCATCAGACGCAGAGGAATGGTCGGGCGGTGCCTCCCCGCAAGTCTTCACCCCTCTCTGGATAGTAGTAAGTAACCAGTCCCATTCACAGATGACCAGAGAGGTCCAGGAGGCCCCGACCTTCAGCACTACAGCCTCGGGTGGTGTGTGGGGGGCATCAGGGAGAACTCCTGCCTTGCACGCTAAACTGGGTGCAGAAGAACATGTCAGTGCCATCAAGACCCTCTAGAAAGCAGGACACACGTAGTGGAAAAACACCAAACGCCCTGCCAAATGGATGTTCAGTGTGCCTCCGAATATGCCGAGAGGGCCCAGGTGCACCCTGGGGCATGCTGCGCTGCGTTAGACTCTGAGCACTTCCAGTAGCCGGGGCTGTTACTGTGAAGTGGGCAGCAGGTGGGGCGGTGGCCTCAGGGCAGTGCTCCGTGGGCCCAGGTGTCCGTTCTGGGAACGCCTGTCTGGACTCACAGGTGTTGCACGGTGTTTGGAACTGGCAGGCAAGTCAAGTACTTCTGAATGAGTGGGCCAAAAGTTAGAAGGTGTTTTTGTTTGTTTGTTTGTTTCTATAATGATGAATTGAAAATGTAATTCTTAAGTACTCATTTTTTATGCTTTATTGATATAAAATTCACATATGCATTTAATTCATCACTCCAATGACTTTTAGAATGTTTCCATTACTGTTAGCTCCCTGTTTCTCCCCTAACACCATCCCAAAAACTCTAAGAACTATTTACTCTAGTTGCTGTTATTACAGATTTACGTCTCTTGAATTTTATGCAAAGAAAATCATTTAAGCAACAAAAAAGAAAACCAGCAACTCTGAGAGAATAAAACCTCAGCCTGAAAGACAGAGGACCATCATAAAAACTAGAGTAGGTTGAAAATGGACTATGAAGGAAAGCAAATGGTACGAAGTTCAATGTTATCCTCGCCACATCCATAGTAGTCCACATTCCAATGCGCTCTGTCTGGGGGCCAGACTGTGCAGACCCTTGGTCAAGAAACCAACACCACCACGCTCACTGCCACTGAGTTGATTCGACTCTTAGAGACCCTACAGGACAAGGCAGAACCTCCCCTGTGTGTTTCTGAGACGAACTCTTTACAGGAGTGGAACACCTCATCTTGCTCCCCAGCAGCCACTGCGGTTTCCAATTGCTGACCTTGAAGTAAGCAGCCCACACCTGCACCACGATACCATCCTAGCTGCTCTCTGTGGCCCAGGGCCCCAGGGAATTCAGTGGGTACTTCGGCCACATAGGGGCTCTACAGATGCGCATTGACCTTTCGCTGTCATCCACAGCCGGGTCAGAATGCACTGCGCTCAAAATCCCAGCCATGGTCGACTATTAAATTGCATAGTATGTGAATTATGTGCCAATAAAACCGTTGGGAAAAAGTAAGCTTTAAAATATTATGTAATACCTGACAATAAAACTGTTCTTTAAGGCTAAAATTTTAAAAAGACTCAGCCAGAAAAAGGGAAGTCAACCCCAAGGCCTGCCTGTCCTGATGACGGCTTCCCAGGCACTTTTGTATGAGCCTGCTGGCCAACGTCACGAGAGGAAAGCCTCCGGTAGACACCGGCACATCCACGTCCGCATCCTAGTGGCGCTGTGAGTGAGTGAGGTGTGGGACTGCTGGCCTCCGGACGGACGCGCCAAGCCACCCGTCTCCAGGCCGGAGAGGCGAGACCATCTGCTCTGTGAAGAGTCGCGCTCCCGGAACCACGGCAGGTGGCTGTGAGCTGGGCTCGCTTGCCAGCAGGTGGTTTGGTTTGGGTGTGAACGGCACATGGGATTAATTTTACTCTGAATAGCACTTCTTCATCCACGAACACAAACAGCATGTAAACAGTGCAAGCGCCTATTTATGCGTGTGCAGGAAGAAACCAAAATTATTTTGGAGCACTCTCTCTGGTCTCGCATGTCTTTTGAGACTCTAATGAAAGTTCTATAGAGAAGCATACATCCACCGACGGAGATCTCCCAGCCCTGGCTTTAAAGTAAAGTGAAAACCTTCATTTTCAAGCAGGAGATCCATTTGCTTGTCATTGGCCAGAGGTGACTGAGCTCTGTTTTCTCCAGACAGAAGGGTGCTGGGAAGCTGGCTGCCTCTCCTCCTGGCCCTGCTGGCAGCCGCCTGGATGCTGGCGGTTGGGATCTGGCTACTGAAGCAGCACGGTAAGGTTATCAGTGCCGCTCCTAGGTCGTGCAGAGGACACGATGCAATGAGTGTGTTAAAGGTGCTTTCCCAAAGGCAGTTGCATTTGGGCACTTCCCAGCATTAGATTGTGCTGCTTAAAGCCTGAGAGCTGCCCTCAAAAGGCTAGTTGAGTACACTGAGTTCAACTGGGGTTCAGGAGGTCAAGATCTGGGGGGAGCCCCTGCCTGGTTTCACCAAGGAGGCATCTACAAGAAATGTTGAAATGGGGAGGGGGCGTTCATTTTACTTGCGGTAGCCTTTTTTAGTTAGTTTCCTACTGTTTAAAAAGAATCTTTCCAAGTTCTGAGAAAAAATATTACCATATATACTCATGTATAAACTGAGTTTTTCAGCATATTATTAATGCAGTTTTAGTGGTAAAATTGGGTGCCTCGGCTGATATTTGGGTCAGCTTATACTTGAGTATATACAGTAATTTAGGTCCATCTGCCTTCTAAAGTCCTTGGGAACACTCAGACAGCAAATGTTTGAATACACAAATCTGAATGTTGATATTCACAGCTAGAGGGAGACCCATTTAAAACGCCTGAGCGGAGTAAATAGAAACCCACCCTTCAGGTTGTTTGTGATGCTGTAGGTGGAATCAGGCCAAGCTAGCATTCTAAGCTAAGAAAGCCACATGGGACCATTCTGTCTAGCTGATGCCATTGCTGTTACACCTGCATTAGGACAGTGGTTTCCTGGTGTCTGCTTTATAGGACGGTATAGGACAGAGCCCCACACTTCAGCACAAGTTGAAAGGTGGCGCCACTGGATTTTGTGAAGCTACCATGAAACGGCGCCTCCTGCAGGCAGGAGATGGTCAGACAACAGAGCTCATTCCATTCAAAGCTCAGGCCTCCCGTGTGCTTACAAAACTAAAGCTACTGAACTTACAGCCACCCGCCCACCACCAAGCCCCTTCAACCTAGGCTTTCGTTGAACTTATTTGAAAAGATATGGCCTGGTTACAGACTGCGTTAGTGGTAGGGAGATAGAAAACGCATCTTTTAAAACATGTTTAAGCAGTGTTGTGCTCTAAAGGACAACTGGACTATTTTCCACTCAGCAGGAACCAGGTCCCTGGAGCTCAGTCCCTAGTGAGGGGCTGCGTCTCAGCGGTGACCGGCTGGAGGCAGAGCTTGACGCTTGCCCTTCAGATCACAACTGTGCTCTTGTCTCCCCAGAGAGGACCAAGAAAGCCTCCTTTCCTGCAAACACACTACTGCCCCGTGCTAAGGTTCTTCTGGTCTACCCATCGGAAATATGTTTCCAGCACACCGTTCGCTTCTTCACTGAGTTCCTTCAACACCACTGCAGGAGTGAGGTCATCCTAGGAAAGTGGCAGAAAAAGAAAATAGCAGAGATGGGCCCGGTGCAGTGGCTTACCACGCAAAAGCGAGCAGCCGACAAAGTCATCTTCCTCCTTTCCAATGGGGCCAGCCCCACATGTAATGGGGCCTGTGGGGAGAGCGAGGACAGCCCCTGGAAGGACTCCCAAGACCTGTTCCCCCTCGCCTTCACCCTCTTCTGCAGTGATCTCACAAACCAGACGCGTCTGCACAAGTACGTGGTGGTCTATTTCAGGGAGGCCGATACGGAAGAGGACTACAGCGCTCTCAACGTCTGCGCCAAATACCACCTCATGAAGGACGCCTCCGCTCTCTGCAGAGAACTGCGCCACATCAAGCCACCCGGGGAAGCAGTCACAAGCCTGCTGTAACTGCTGACCTTGCTGGTCGCCCACCAGCAGAAGCCGACGGCGCTGGAGCCTGGCCATGCAACCACGTTCCCCCATCTATTCCAGGGCTGCTGCTGGGTTATCCCAGAGAGATTCAGGCTAGATTGGATACTGGCTTTGCCTTTGATCTACCCCCATCAGTGAACAGCGCATGTTTCCTCAGCGGGAGCTAGGCCAGGGGAACAGTACACAGCGCTCTTCAATGGAGAGAGCGGGACTCAGGGAGGGGAGTGACCTGCACAAAATCACACCACAAGTAGGACTAAAGTCAGAGCCCTAAACTCCCCACCTGAGCCCGGGACTCAGGCTGCTGTCGGCTCTGCCGTCCTGTCCTCCCCCCAGGCCTGCCCCACATTTGACTGAGTCTTCAGTCGCCCTGGAGGAGGACCAGCTAAGCCCAGGCTGTCCTGCTGCCCTCCCTCTCCCTCCCTCGGCCTCCTCGCCAGTCCTCCTGCTCCCTGCGCGTGACTCTGCTTGCGCCCCCACAGATGGTCAGCTGTGGAGTCCCATCTTTGAAGTGTGGCTATGACCTGCACCAGTGCTGTGGGGTTGGTTTGTTCTTCTCTTTGACGTATTTCTAAAAGCAATACATGATTTGGGGTTCATTTTCCTAGTGATTTTTTTTAATCGTTTTATTAGGGGCTCATACAACTCTTATCACAATCCATACATGCATCAATTGTGGAAAGCACATTTGTACATTCATTG